TCCGTACGCTACGAACCCTAGTGATTTCCCCCTCGCACTGGAGCTTTTCATTGGAGGCGTGGGACTTCCCCGCCGGCGAGGCCCGCGCCCCGCGCCCTTCATCCACCGTGACAGGCGGCGCAGAAGAAAAAAGAGAAGGGACGCGCGGAAAGGAACGGGGAGCGGGTGGGCATTCACGACGAGAGGGGCCCCGCCTGGCGGACGTCATCTAAGTTGTGGACGTCGACAACGGTGACCCGGGGCCTCGGTGATTGCGCGACTTCCACACGATCGGAATGTCGTCGACGTCGACCCCCCCCCCTCCTTTTCCTCTCATCGAATCTGTTCGGATATTGAACACGTCATTCACGGCGATGCGGGGTCGGTTTTAATTGATATTCGTCTCTGCGCGCCGAGATAGTGGTAACCAGGAGACGCTGCCCGGCGGGGAGCTGGCGTCGCCTGCCTGTCACGCCGCCGCCGCCGGCCCGGCCCGCGCCAACGAGAAAGTTTCGCGACTTCCCAATCGTCGTCGTCGTCGTGTTTTTAATCTTCGAATGCTATATAGGACCACCGAGGAACCAATTTCGCGGGTTTTGCAGACGGGGCTCTGAGAGACGAAGCAAAGAATGGGTTGACCGGGTTCTTTCTTCAGACGCATGTTTTACAGTAATGCCGAGAATTTCAGAAAGGAGAGCGTTTTGACACCGTGAGGAATGATTTTTTCGTCGATATTGAAACGATATCGTTTCGATGCCACTTGTCGTTTGAGGTATCATCAACGTTTCGAAAGTGGCACCTAAAACGACAAGCGACATGGAAACAATATCGTATCGATATCGACAAAAAAATCATTCCTCACGGAGATAGGACTTCCCCCGCATCAAGATGCGATTTCTTTCTAATTTTCCCAGTTTAGTGAGGGTTGTTGTACACAAATTAATTAAATTAATTTTCATAAACGTGAGCTGAAATAAAGAGTCGAGCGACAAGTTGCTTGCCCCTTCAGAATGGCGTAATTTGCCCACGACTCCTATTGCATCCCCGAACGAGTCTTCGTGATGCGACAGCCAGCAACTCAAGCTCTGTGGAGAGGGAAGGCGAGGGTCCACCCACCCCTCCTTCTGAAGGGTCTTTGCGCTCTCACACTCACGCGTCAAGCAGCGCCATCAAATCCAAATCAAGGGCGGTAAATCTCGCAACAGATGGCGGAAGAGATGGGGAGGGGGGGGGGGATAGAGAAAGGTACGGGCCGGAGGGAAGGGGGGCTCTCGAGGCTCTTTAGTGTAAATGGTAAGACTGTGGCACGTGCAACCCCCTCGGCGATCACACCAGGATATCTCAACGCTTCTACAAAGTTTTGGTAGTAGGTGTTGAGATTTGAAAACAATAATTTCAGGACCAGTTCACTGTTCAACAGAGAGGAAGTAGATATTTTCTGGCCAGCGCTGTTGAACCCAAAGTATTCAAATAAAGTACCTCCAATCAGTCTGGTGACAAAACTCCTCCGCTGACAACCCTATGATGGAAAATAGGGCGCGTGCAGTGCAATTTCCCCATATTCTAGGCGCATATGGCTTTGTTCAAAAGCGTTTATTATTTTACTTTTGGTCATTCAATCAGAGATCCTTACCCCAGCAAAGCACCTGTCGCTCGGCCCGGTTTGAGCCAGCCAAGCCAGCTCGCTCGACACTCGTGCAGGATGAGTTGCCTACCGCCTAGGCTACGTGCTGCTTGCTTCCGCGGCCTGGCTTGAAGTCCTTCCTTGAGTGTCTAAGGGGGGGGGGGGGGAGGCCCCGATATAATATTTCGGGTGGACACGAAACAGCCATGGCCCCTGCGAGTAATACGCTGGGTGCTGTTCTGACACACCCGGCGTGGCTCTACCCAATCCACCATCTATGAGACCAGCTTGAAAGTGCAAAACGAAACTGGAGTAACAGTCGAAAAAATCAAAATGGAAAATGCATGGAGCACACAAGAATCTGTAATTAAAAATAAAGGCACATTTCTACTGAATTATTTTTTATTAAAAATCACAGGTGCGGCAAAAAGATGAATTGCAGACTTTGCCAGGGACAACAACTTTACATGGTTGCTTGCAATATCAACATTGGTAAGGCTTAACACAGATTATATGAAATCAGGAAAAAATCAGTGCTTTAACCGTACGTACAATACTATTTTTCAACAATGAAATATTCATAGAAAACTAATAATTAAAAGACAAAAATAAAGTACTTTCCACAGCAAAATAAAAAGAATATCCTCTGATGTATTACACTAATAAAGCAAAAAACAATAATTATATTTTTTGAATATATGCTACTTCTCTAGCATCCTTGCTCTTAGTGTAGAAAGATATGCATTCCAAGAAGAATCACTGGCTTCACATTGAAAATCTTCCTCATTTGTTGCAGAATCTTTCACATTTTTGGCCACCTTTGATTTCTTGTTTTTTTTAGGCTTCTGCAGAGTTTCCAATACCTCTACTTCATCATTGCTCGGGCTTGAAGGATTCACTAATGGTTTGATAGACAACTCCTCCTCTGTTTTAATACTCTTTTTTCTCTTATTTGATTTCATTACAATCTCTTCTTGAGCAGAAATAGAAGACAATTGTGGAGGCAGATTTTTCTTTCCGCTGCTCTGTACTCTTTCTTTCTTGATCTTGACAGGAAGTTCAGAGACAGAGCTAGTACTAGATGTCAGTTCTTTCTTCTGAGTCATCTGCGAGGTAACATGAGTGTTTGAATCATGGTTGACAGCTTGAGGGTCACTTCCATTCTCTGTCAGTACTTTCTTCAAATTACTCTTGGCCTTCACAGCAACCTTTCCTTCTGAGCTCAAAACTTCACTCTCTACTTTAGGGGTCTTGAGACAACTTTTCCGTTCACCATCAGGTTTTGTTCCTACTTCCAAAGTTGGTGCAAGAATATTGGAATCAGCTGGTCTATCAAAGGGTACAACGTCACATGAAATAGATATCCTTTCTTGCTTCTTGTGTTTAGATGTGGTGCTTGTTTGACCATTCAAATAATTTATTTCAGACTGCCTTGATTTTTCCAGCTTTTGAAGTTCTCTTCTATCTTCAATAATATGGTAAGAATTATCAGGTGAAGAAAATCTAACCTTCTTGGTGTAATTTGAAGAATCCTCAGGCTCTGCTTCTGGAATATTTCTCTTTGATTGACGATCTTGTTCATTTTTTGTTGTATTCCCTACTTTTAAAATGCTAGTCAAAGAACATTCTTGATAATCAGTAATATTACTTTCATCACTTAGCTTTGTGCTTTTTACTTTTCTCTCATTGAATGAAGCAGCTGATTGAGAATTATCTTCATTGACAATTTTTTTGTTACCTTTCAAATGTGACAGGTTGTTATTTTCAGTTTCACCTAGGCACTGCTGCGATGTCGTACCATCTTTTACTGAACAAGAATTTAGAGACTCCTGTTTAGGAATAGGAGCTGTCATAATTTTATTCACTGCGCCATTTTGGCTATGCTGGTGATCAGCAGTTTTACTGAAAGTTGATCTCCTGGTTTGAATACCCTTGGTTGTTTGAGCTAGATCTGAACATTCAGTCTTGTTATTTCTCTTAGACAAGCTCAAATGTTTCTTCCTAAAAGGATGATCTCCTTTGGGTTTCCTTACTTCTTGATTAACATCATTCTGAGATGAATCATGGTCACAGGTCACATCTTGCTGCTGAACACACCCTTTCGTTCTGAGAGATGACTGAGCTTGATTCCTCACTGAAGCTCGAGGATATTGCAGTTCTTCTGATAATTCCTTCCCGTCAACACAGTTCACAGGTGCTACATCCTGGTTCTTTGTTAAGGATTGTACAGAATTCGTACTCCTCAGAACTGGTTTCCGAGTTGGAATACTGTGAGTTGTTTTGACTGGTTCTAGCTCTTTCATCTTGTCAACTTCCTTTTTTCTGCTACTCTTTTCAGATCTCAAGTTTCTACTGGACTGAGTTCTGAGATCCTTATCCTCTTTGGAAGGCGCCATTACACCCACATCAAGTGGCTCACTTTTGCCAAGAGATTTAATTTCTTGGTTGAGTTGAGGTGAGGGGTGATAGCTATCAGAGCTTCCAGATTCCGAAGACCAACCCACATTATAAAGAGGTGGAGAATTAAGTTTAGACTTCTTAATATTCCCATTGAAATTAGCATCCATCTAGATGGAAACAGAAAATGTCATAATTATTTCTTGTTAGTAATTAAAGAACATTTTACCAGCTAGCTGTAAATGTGAGTGGAGATAACATTGGAATCACTATTATCAAAATATACACACACACACCTCATATTTCCTGTTTTCACGACTTTTTATGTTGGATGACGACACATCACCATCATTTTTCAGTTGTTCATTCTGAGATGGTACTGCTGAATCACAAGATGTAAATGCTGGAGAAACAAAAGAATTTGAGGTTTTGGAAAAGATTTTAATATAAACAGATTTACGGAAAAAATCATAAATAACTCACATTGAAGAGAAGCAGAAGTACTTTGATCAGCATCTGGGAGTTCCTCTTGACGGATGAACAGACCATTTTCTGGAAAGAAATGTAAAACAAGCACTATCAATAAGTAAACCAAAAACCATCAATTACAGTAAGGAGCATTAAAAAAACAGGGAACAACTTACCAGTTTCTGTAGTTGAATCACTGAATGACGCTTGATTGGCCAAACAGGTTGTAGTTTCATTGACTAGATGTCGAGTAGGACTTGACCCAAAGACAGAATCCTCTCCTGTGCTAACATTCATCATGCATTCAGAAATATCAGATGAACTCTCAGAGTCAAGAGTTATTTCTTCAACTGGCATTTTGGACTTGCTTTCAAAATGCCTGCTGTATGATGCTTGGTTGGAACTTTTCTTTTTAAGAAGGCTGCTTTTCTCATCTTTCATGGAGTGTTGACGATCAAAGGATGTAAAGGCACTTCCCAGAGTAGATTGTGCAAGCTGAAACTTTAAAGGGGAATAGTCAATATCAGGGCTCTCTGAGCTTTCATCTGGCATTGTCTCATCTCTGTCATCCTCAACCTCTTCACCACATTCATTCCCAGAATTTCTGACATTGAGTTCAGCAGCTCTCTCCTCAAATGTGCTTTTCTGCCTTTTGAGGTTTGAGGCATCTAAGGTAGTTTCACCTGGAGATTCTGGAAATTCTAAGGTATAATCATCTGATGACTGAGTAGAGCCACAACTCAAGCTTACTGTTTCACAGCGACTAACAGTATCTGTCTGAGATGTAACATTTTGAAGACTTTCAACATCATTCGATTCAATGTGAGAGTCAGGTATGACGCTGTCAGATGAGAAGATTTCATCACCTGCACATAGTTTTTGTTGATCAGAACCAGTGTCTTGTGACAAAGATGATCTATTTTCATCTTGTTTTATAGTTTCACTTACAGATGATCCAGCTTCATCTACCTCTGCCTGGGAATCAAAGGCAAGACTTGATGAAAAACAAGTGCATGCTATTTCAGTCAGGTGCTCATCACATGGTTGCAAACCACTCTGTGAGTTACATGAAAATTTCACAACTAAATGTTTGGAATAGGCAGTCTTGAACTCTTCTTCAGAAAGATTTTCTATTCTGCTCAGAAACCAACAATATCTAGGGAAAAGCTGTTCCAGAACAGTTGAAGTAGATGTAACCAGCTCAGATTTCTCTATTTTGGTTGATGTACGAACATCTTTTTCATTCTCCCTGCATAAGTCTTCATACAAACAATTCAGGTCACATACTCGGCAGAATCTGCTTTGCGATAGGGAAATGAAGTGCTGATGGCACTGGCAAGCTTTAGATAGCACATCCTTCAACCACAGTTTTTCATTAATTCCTTGAATCATGGTCATCAAGGAAATCCAAGTAGTTACACTAATTTTGTCATTGGGTAAAATAGTCTTTGCACAAGTTGTCATCAAAGAAAGAAGGTGCTGTCTGAAGGAAGACGATGGTGAAGATGACAGATCCTGAATATATCTGTATGCCTGTAACATACAGCACAGAGCATCATGAAGCAGCCACATATTCTTCAGCTCAGCTTCTTCTAAGTTGATGATGAATTTAGAATCTAAAACACAGCAAGTCTCCAACAAAATGCTAACTTTATCATGACAATGACATAAAAATCCTTCAAATTCATCTTCACACATGTCATTATCGATGTCTCCCTTGAATGTCACTGAGGACCACTTTAAAAGTCTAACTGAAATGTCAGTAGGAATCTTCAATTCAGATGTAAGGGTCATGAGAGCTTTCACAATCATCACCTTAGTAGCTGAAGTCACATCAGTCTTCGCCTGCCCTTCAGCCTTCTGCTTGGAAGAGCCAAGATGGTCTTCTGGACTGGATTCTACATTTGATGGAGGGACTTCCCAATCGTTGTTGGATTCTTCAAAGACACACCCTCCTCTTCTCTGGGGATCCTCTTCAGAGTTGTCACAATATAAAATAGGAGATGTACTCCTGTCAATATAATTTTTTAAAGAATTTGAATTTTCCATTTCAGTTGTGAGCCCCTTGCATATGCCCTTTGCTGTCATAAGATCATCGTCCATAGATATTGTATTGATGACAGAAGCAATTTGTTGAAGAATCTCTGAGCTTTTCAAATGTGGAGAGCATTTAAACACTGTTTCATTTATTTCTCTATCAAGTAACGCAAAAATGTAGCAAACATCTCTCTTCTCCATTGATTGGTTCTCTTGATTTGCATTTTTAGTGTGTCCTTCAGGAGTGCTTGTATCATCCTCTGATAAGCCTGAGTCCACAGAGGAATCAAAAGGTAATTTACAGGATACAACTTTTTGGGAGGGCAAGCCTTCCTCTTTCCTTGGTGTCACCAAAAACTTGCACACACTTCTGTCTTTATCAGGGGTACATGATACCATCATGCAAGATGGAGGTGCATCCAACCTCTTCTTCACTGAAATTTCCATAGGGACTTTGAGAGTTATCTTGGAACCTTGATCGGTTGTCAGCAACTCATTCCCTGTTTTACGTAGCCTTACTTTCCTGAACTTTTTCAGAGCAAGCTGGAAGCCACCCTGAGAATTTTTCAGATAGAATCTCTGTAATGCTTTCCTACTTGACGCTGCACTGCTTGCCTTCAATTTTTTGGAAGAACATAGAGGTCTTCCCAGAACACGTTTTGGTTTCCGAATCATATGATCTTTGACAGAAAAATTCTCTGGAGTGTCATCTACAATACCATTGCATTCCAAAGTTGTTTGGTGAAAACTTTCTTCAGAACGAGGCTTCATAGCATCATCCTTGAGTTTTAGATGTTGATCTTCACAGGAGAAGATTGTACTATTCGCTGAAGGCACACGGATATCTCCTTCTGCATGGGGAAAAACTGCACTTTCTTCTTCACCATTCTCCTCCAAATGGTTCAATTTCTCACAGGAGCGCTGCACCAAAACTTCTGAGGGCACGAGAGTTTGAAAGATAGCACTAATTTCACAATCTCCCTTGGTTGGTGACTTAGCTACCATGTCTGAATTGGAAGAGTTGGTGGCTGCTTGATCAGAAGTACATTCAGACTGCTGATGAATAAGATTTTCTGCAGTTTGATTCTTCAGCCAAGAAGAAACTCGATCTTCGGAGTTCTGAGCAGTGGCTAAGAGCTTCTTTTGCTTCTGATCCTTTTTGATGTGGCCTGCAAAGTAGCAAAAATATGTTAGGATCAGAGGTTGATTTGCGCACTAAAGTATGAGTAGGAAAATGACTCACATCGTTTCTTGACACAAACAATTTTCTTCTTCTTCAATCTACTGGAGTGGTCATTAGGTACCGCAATCATATTTCTAGCATCTGATTTCAAAAATATTTTTTTCACTCCAGATTTCCTACGTCCCTTCCTGGACCTAGGAATTTCAGCATTGTTTGATTTTCCCAAAAATTCAGGTGGATGCAGTCTAGAAAATTTGTTCGGCTCTGTCGGAAAGAAACAACAAATGACAACACATGGGCGATAGAAATGCTCTTGAGCAAAGAAGCTGGGTCACCATAGGCAAACCAACCCCACTTCGCACTTAAAGTTCTAACACAAAACTGTGGGTGCCTCGGTGACATAACGGAAAAGAAGCATAAAAGGGAACTCATAATCTGCCTTATTCGGAGGATTTGCTTTTCGTTTGTGTTTGTCTAAATGTTGGAAACAGAGTTCCGAGACAAGTCTAAACTAAATGCATAGAAAGTGCAGGGGGTGCAAGATGCAAAACGCACCATAGTCCTGAATGAAAAATATAGGAGTAAAGTTAAGACTTACTAGTAGCCACCATGGTGTGTGATGAGCAGTTAGATCACTAGCCCTCACAGTATCTATCCTAGAATCGGCGGCGTTACACGTTCTTGCTTGTCCCTTGTCCTCAACCTCAACTCAACGCAAACCGACAGAACGCGCCCGGCGTGCAAGACAAATGCTATCGACAAAAGTTGTGCCAACAGAGGCCTTTTCTGCGCTGCTACGAGACAACTGCATATGCATACGAAAGAAAATAGTTTTGCACAGCTTGCGCCTGTGAAATCTTCAAATATTTTGTTATCAAAAGGAATGCACATAATCAACGTTATGAATCCCGGCCGTGGCGCGACGCATGCAGGAGGTTGGTGCGGTGGTGTTGGCAAGAGCAGGGGAAGCCAAAACGCCAAAACTACCAATGACCTGTCAATGTTCAATACATGTTTAGGTGGTTTCAATTATTGAAAGCTCGAAGAATGATCAATAATTTGGTGAAAACAACCCGTCTCAACCGATTGTCAGAATTACAGCCAATCTAAATACACGTACATGCTGTCAATATTTGGCAAATAGGGAGTAGGGCTCGCAAAATTTTCCAACTCCAAATGGCTTTCGGTTTGATGGCTTTATTAAAATTAGCATATAAAATATGCAAACTACACTTCTGGAAAAACTGTCAAAACTTAACTGATATACAACACTGGCACAGAATAAAATAAACTTTCAAAATATCACATCTCAAGTACAAATCATTAGGAATGTAAAATTGATCACTATTAACCCTGCCTTGTATGACCTAGTTGTAATACACTCACTCCACATTAACATGTGTCTCTACTTAAATTTGTACTTCATGATACTATTAAGTACAATTTGAATTTGTACAATTATCACTATCGTCTATTATTACAAAATGCATTAGTAAAAGTTCCTATTTGGTTGTACATTACTCAATTATTTTTAGAAAGAGGGTGAAAACAAGAATTGCATTTGATGCTGAGTGTAATGCTGAAAGATCACTACTTTGCCTTGGCAATGAGATCAGCAATCATTGATTCCAGTTTGCGGCAGTCCACTGCAAATTTGCGGATGCCATCGGACAATTTGTCAGTTGCCATCTGATCTTCATTAAGCTCCCAGCGGAAAGTTGCTTCATCCATGGTCACCTTTTGCAGATCTGATTTCTGAGCTGGAGACAACCAATACAATTAATTATAGGTTTGTAGTGCTCCAAATTGACTGTCTGATAAGAGGAATAAAATTAATAGCTCACCAGTGGTTGGGGAGAGAATAGGAGCAATTTCAACATTGCTATTTTCCAGCTCTTCCAGTAGCTTGGGTGATATGGTTAGAAGGTCACAGCCAGCCAAAGCCTGAATCTCACCTGGTAGGAAAGATTTTCTAGTTAGAGATATAATGCAAATGAGACAGAAACTGGAGATGAATAGTAATCAGGGAACTTACCAGTGTTTCTGAAGGAAGCACCCATCACAACAGTTTTGTATCCATATTTCTTGTAGTAATTGTAGATTTTAGTTACAGATACAACACCAGGGTCTTCAAGAGGAGCAAACTGCTTCTGATTTGTATTAGCCACATACCTAAGGAAACAATTAATTTAGCAATAATTGACAGATACTGCCACAGTTTAAAATGGCTTACACATGTATTTACAAACTGAAACAACTGAAACTAACCAATCAAGAATCCGACCTACAAATGGAGAGATCAAAGTAACTCCAGCCTCAGCACAGGCAACAGCCTGGGCAAAGGAGAAGAGCAGAGTCAGGTTGCAGTGGATTCCATACTTGGACTCAAGCTCCCTGGTAAAATAAATTGCATTACTAATGGAACCTAATCAAATTAGATTAATTTGATTCAAATGTTAATATTTTACCTTGCAGCTTGGATACCCTCCCAGGTTGAAGCCAACTTAATAAGAATGCGATCCTTCTTGATTCCATGCTCTTCATACAATTCAATGATGCGGCGGGCTTTTGCAATGCTGGCTTCCTTGTCGAATGAGAGTCTACAAAAGGCAACAAGTTAATACAATGATCTATAGATAGATAGTAAGATACAATAATTGGGAATTCAAAAAAATATAATTATTGTTCAACATTACTATTAGTATTTTATTAGTAGAATTTTATATAGAAGGGTGGCTGAAGTCTGAAATGCATGCATAAGAGATATTGATTGCTTGTACCTGGCATCCACCTCAGTGGAAACTCGCCCAGGAATGATGTTGAGGATCTCGACTCCAAACAGAACACACAGCTTGTCCATGGCAGCATCTACAGCCTCAGGCACAGAACTGTAGGATTATAAAATGTTAATGTACATTTCAAAGAGCAAAATAGTAAACCAGGTGCTGGAAATTAAGATCTATAAAGAACAGTACTTAAACAAAATTTACAGATGACCTTAGTCAGGTCAAACATTCTCATGGGTTGACTATGTATAAAGTATTAATACTTACGCTCCAACCTTCTTTCCGTATTCCACAGCTTTAGCAATGAGGTGTTTGTACTGGGGCATGTTGGCAGCAGAAAGCATGAGTGATGGGTTGGTGGTGGCATCAGTGGGCTTGTACTTCTTCATGGCTGAAATGTAGATAAGCGTCTTACCTCACAGATACCAATCATGAAGACAATATTAAGATAATGCAAAAGCCATGAATACCAGGGGTCATCAATTGAAACAAAATAACGCTTAAAATTTAAGCAATTAAATGGTTAGCAAATACTGCAATCATTTAAGCTAATTATCCTATGTTATGTCATGAGCAAGTGTGACATCAGCAAAAAGATATTGCATGATTCCTACAGGTGTCTCAGACATGGTTCACAGGGTTAGGTCAAGATAGTGAAAGTGCTTGAAAGGCAGTGCATCAGCTTTCGCCGGCGTCGGGACAGTTCTATACACTTACCTTCGAAATCACCTGTGTCGGCGACAACGGTGGTCAGGGACTTGAGTTGGACCAAAGAGTTTGCCATTTTTGCTTTCTTGGGGCTTGGCGCACTGTCAGACATAACCGGGACAAGGAGCGGCTTCAACGACGGCCTGGAAGCGACTAAGGCGTGAAAAGGCCTTTTTAACCCGCTGGGTTGTTGGTAAAAGTCACCTTGAACTCAGCTGAGCAACAGCCAAGCCGGGAAAGGGGGAGCGAGTGGGAGCGATACGCTGACCTCCTGAACCAGAACCTTACGTGCCATGGACTTGAACCACCACACTTGAGTCTGTAATCCTTGAAACCGCATACCTTGCTGTTGCTGTCCTTGTTCGGCTTATAGGGAGAGACAGAGAGATGATGTTGTATTTTTACGCAGCCCTGAAGGCCGTCAGTGATGGGCTACTACAGCACAAAGAAAATATGCTCTTGCACCGTTTAAGTGTACAAAATATTAGCTTTGCGTTTCAAACATAAATTTTAAAATCTTATTTTGAATGATTTTGGGGTACTCTTGAGTAAGTCGTCAATTGGCTTCTAAAACGTGCCTTGTTTGCCGCATCGTAGGTTGGTATGCTACTGTGGATTTTGTTTTTCTTAATCAATGACAGCTGTCCGCTGACCGCCAAAGTTTAAACGTCAGTTTTGAACAAAAACCAACACAAACAAACAGATTTGATTTAAGGCTTCTAAACAATTTTTTTAGAGTTTCAGCGTGAATTTGTTCAATTCCTTCTGCAAGACAAATACAAGGAAAATATAACGTATTTCATCGTTTTTATTTATGATCGTTCATTTTTGTTGTTATTGTTGTTTTTCAGTAATTTTGCAATTTTACCGCTGGGGGTGGTACTGCCTATGAGGACACCTGCTGCATCCATATTTTGGTGAGTCAGATATGGCATATTTCTGTTAATTTGATATAAACTTGATGTGTTGATATGTTGAAGTTCTTGGAAACATTTGGTCAGAAGGCTTCAAATGTAGGTTTGATATTAGGTTCATTTTCACATAACATTGTCTCGATTGGAGACAACTGGAGTCATTCTTTCTTGTTAAAGCATGGGAGCAAACAGGTGCGAGGATACCTGGCTGCAGAACAAATAAGTACAGCCACTATAGCCTGTTGATGCAAGCATTTCCTCTGTCCGACTATTTCGTTGCTAGGCAGTGGATGGAAGTAATGCCCGATGTACTCATCAAAAGCATTACTTCTAGCTGTGAGGTAACTGTTCATGAATTTTCAAAATTATGTTTTTTCGATTTGGTGGATTTGGTCTGCATTTTTGTACCCTGTTTATTTTTCTAGCTTAACTTTGACAACGATAAGTTTGAACAAATGTATATTGGTGGTAAGAAAAACCTTCAAGACTAACGCTGTTCCCAGTTCAAATGCAAAATTTAAATCCTGTGGCCTTTATTAGCTTGAATTTCTTTTAAGGCACTTTTGCACAGCTTCCATTTCTTCCATTTCTATTCCTATGTTGTATTTTATTTTAATCAGTGTACTTTCACTTCTCTTTTTATTATTTGTTTACTTGTTGTTACTATCTTTGATAGTGGATAAGTTTTGTGTGGAGTACCTCAAGTGGTTGGTCGTGTGTATGGGTTTGTGAGTGTCTGTGTGGGCTTCAAGGCGTGTGTGTGTGTGTGCGTGTGCGTGTGTATGTGTGCGCGCGCGCTCGAGCTTGGAGGCTTGGAGTAGGGGGAGGGGGAGGGGGTGGCGCACCGCGACTCCGCGGCGCGGCGGACCCAAAAAGGAACACCGGACATCTACTTGTATAAGGCTACGCCATATTGGAGTTGGAGCCCTATACTATGTTTACACCGCGGAGGCTAGCCCGTGCTATGTCGGTGGTGGGGGAAGTTGGCCCCGGCGTAAACGGCGCGCGGCCAGCGCTGGCCAGCCGCTCGCTAGCACGCGCTAGCCTGCCCCCCTCCACCGCTCTGCTTGGTCTAGCCCCGGAGTAAACGCGTTTCGCCCGGGCTATCTCCGGCTGGACTTTTAAAATACCCGATATTTGTGTATTGCACTTGGCATTTCGGTGTGGCTTTCGTACCCCAACAGGAAACAATTCCCCTATTCGACCCAGAGCTTCAATTCTCACTATCCTCTTCAATATACCTTGATATATCTAAGATACTGTAAATATTTCAAAAATTGTTGCTATCACATATATCCTAAAGATAAATGATGTGAGTAGTAAAGAGTTAAATATTTTACACCCGCTGATTTGCAAACCGTGTACCGGGAGAAGTATTTTACCTTAAAATACTTGGTTTGATCGTCGAGATTTGAAAACCGCGCTCTTTTTCATCAGCTGGCCCACACGGGGTAAACGCATCGCCGCCAGCCCGGGCTAGCGCTGGCCCGAGCCAGCGTTCTACGGCGTAAACATAGTAATTTTTGCATAGTGGAGGATTCACACCTCTCCTCGGGAGGTTTGTGTATTTTTAAGGTCGTGAAGCTGGTGAAAATCGCCTGCGCCCCAAGGTTTGCTATCATCAGCGTCAGTGAATTCCTCCAGATCAGATCACTCGGCCCCAAGCGGAGTCCCTTGTGTGACAACATTCGAGCCGACAGTGATTTTCCTTCCTTGAACCGTGACTTGAGTTCGACTGTCATGATGCCCTACACACCAAACTGCGCTGTCCTTTGATTGACCGCAGGTATTGTCCTTAGGTTTTATTGCAAACACCCCCTCTCTCCTCTTTTGTCTGTTTCGTCGATTTCTTTCCCGTAATGAGTAGAATCGGTACTTTTCTCCCGGATATCAGTGACCGCCCTCAATGAACGCGGAGGGGCAGAAGCCTATCACCGCGCAAGGCCCTTGCAATTAGCACTTATTTCCCTGGCGCCTTCCCTAGTTGCGGGGTGCCTTGTCGATTTCGTAAGATTTTTCCAACACCTAGCCGTGTGATACATGACCGGGTCGGTCGTTTTGGGGCCCTCATGTCAAACCGCAGGACTCATCGTCTCCTCATTAATTGTCCTGTAACCTACGGGTACGAGTGGAGTCGGCGGCCACCGCCGCCGCCGCACGGTTAGGTCCCTCACTACTGCCTCTGCGCTAGCGCCGCCGCCGCTGCCGCCGCCGCCGCAAGCTGTGTGGTGTGGGTGTCATTTACCGGTGCCGGATAAAAACCGTCGATGGAGTTAAGCCCTTGTCGAAGGTGCGTTGCAGCCCCCACGTCCCTGTTGCCCTCTCCATGTAGATTTGCGCCCGCCGCGAACGTTATCGTGAAAAAAAGGCAAGTCGAGTTCAAAGACCGCTGGCCGTCAGTGATCGCGTAAACTGGACCGCGTACAGTGGCCAGCCTAGAGACCCCTTTCCCGTGCGCGACGGTCGCGTGAGGAGGTGAAAACCACTCATTATTTTACGTGCGGGCTGAAATCCGACTGAAAATTGTGTTGATTCGTGTATGTTATTTGCCGGGGTGGTATTTGCGAGTGCCGGGGAGCGGAGTCTGCTTTCTCCTTTTCGTGGGCGCTAGTCGAGCGGCTAGTCGCTCGGAGCCACCCAGGCACTTGCTAATGACCACATCCGACATGGCTGCCCAAATGTTTTCCTAACCCGACGTCGCGGACTTCCGAATTTCACACGACTTTAATCTGTGCCTTCACCTATCATGAAAACCTGAGCGGGTGTCTCAATTTTTAGGTTAAAATTCGTCTGCATTGCCGCGTATCTCGTGTGTTTGTGTGCGTCGGGGAAGCCTGTGTGTAAACTTAGGGATGAAAACATAACCCATTAAGTGCAATTCATCTGTTCTTATTTGAATCAGCCTCTTATTTGGAATATACTGTGATGTTTATCGTAATTAGATTCAGAAACGGTAATCAAACTAATCCAAACTAGTTGCTGTAAACACAGTGGGATGTTTGAGTGCTAATTAGCATTCAGTAGGTTTTCTCATTTGCTGTAGCTAACTGTGGGTGTTAGTTAATTTAATCAAACTATCCATCTTATTTCACTTTTGTGGGTTGTTTTTTAAAATTCCTACATCCAAGTACCCTTAAAGATCATGTAACTTTAAAAAAAAATAATCTGATAATGGCCCCTTCTATTATTTTCTTGTTTAATGTTATGTAGATCCTCTCCTTACTTGGTCTTGTTCTTAACTTAACATATTTTTATTTTTTTTTTGTATTTCAGAAAATATTAATATTTAGCAGCCTGGCTAGGTCAGGTGCCATGGAAAAAATGGATGTGGATGATGATACTGTTATAGACCTTAGCGCAAGGTATTTGACCATATCGTAATTGATTTTTTTTATTCCAGTATTTTGACTGTAAAGCTAAAAATTTAACATTTCATTCTTAAATTTACAGTAGTCGTCCAGCACGACGGGATGCTTCTGGTGATGGTACTTTGGATCTTTCAAAGCCATCTAACAATGCTCCAGTTGTTGTCCCCCTCCCGCTTCAACTTCCACTACAACTCAGTGGCTTACCTCTCACTGTGCAAGCTGTGACCAACTCTCCAAGATCTACAGCTTCTTCACCTAGCTTGGGGACAGCTTCTGTAACCCCAACAGCTGCCCCTGCTGTGGCACCTCCCTCAGAACCAGGAACGATGGAACCTCCAGCAAGCCGAAGTTTACTCAGGCGAGACTTAGACAGCCAGTACCCTTCTAGACGGAGCTTACGTCCAAGACTTGAGCCCCGCAATTATGTCGAAAGCCCTGATGTAATAGTCCTGTCTGATGAGGAACCAAAACTAAATGGCTTTACTAATGGATATGAAAGTGATTCAAGTGATATTGGGGAAATGCCTCCTCTTTTGCCCATTAAAGTAAGATATTCTAAATTATTTCATTTATCGAAATTTGATTTCATCTTGAATTTTCAAAATCTAAACTTATGTAATCTTTCTAGGAACTTTCACCAGCAGAAGTGGAAGAGCGAGAAAGAATGTTACGCAAACTAAGGGAAGAGCTGAGGAATGAAGAAATGAAATTGGTCCTTCTCAAAAAACTTCGTCAATCACAGCAAATGAAAGAGAATATAGCAGTCCCTCCCACATCAGGCCTGTCTCAAACCACTGTTACCCCAACCGGGCCACCCCCAGCAGGTACCAAAGTTTTGCCAGGAATGGTGAAACCAACTACGTCAACACTTGGACCAGGAACTACAATAGACCGCCTTCCTGCTGCTGCACATTCGCAATCTCATATGAACACAACCCAAGCCCATTCTCTTTCAAGAAATCACCACAAGCAACCCGCTCCCAACGTTCCACTTCCTGTAAACAGAGGAGTTGTAAGTGACTCATTTGACATTTCACTGAGCTCTATACCATAACGCCAGTTAACGCTCAAGTCCTTATTAATTTACATTGTGTTACAGCCACCCCCACGAAGCAGCCTTCCACCCCCGCTACTTAGCAACAGGCCTTCAACGACTCCGATTTTACCTCCTAATACTACATTAACTCCTACCAACATGTCCAGAGGTGAGTTGTAACACTTATGTGGGTACCTCTTGCGAACCATGATCCTGTAAACATGTTATGTATATTGGTTTTCTTTCATCATAGGGGGAAGCAACCAGCACAGTGGAAGATCCGGTCATGGTGGAGTGAATTATGCTGTGAATGACAGGCTTAGCAAGGATCATCACTCTCCTGTGGTTACTCCTCAACCGGTAATTATTAAAAGCTTCTCAATTAATTTTTATAGTCTATAAGTCCCTTCCACTATGGCTCCTTATTTGTGTGTTGTGTGCAAGCTGCTTGGAAGTGAAAAGAGTGTCAGTACTCAATCACAAGAGCAGGTATGTTCGTAGCCACAATAGTTAATACAACAAACAAGTCTAGATCTTGTTCATTAGTTATTGTTGTCTGTTGCATCTTTTAACACACTGATTGATCCCATGTATTCATAATCATTCTGTATCTTTTCTCTTACACTTGATACATCTTATATTTTCATTTATTTAACAGGATCGAAGCAGAGTTGATGACAATCAAACTCCAGCTCAACGTCAGGCTGCTGCTAAACTCGCCTTGCGCAAGCAGTTGGAGAAAACATTACTTCAGGTACATGTTGTTTTACAATTGTATACGTAATAGGCTAGTATGTTAAAAATATATATCAACATAATATTTGAATTTTCTCTGCTACAGATACCACCGCCAAAGCCTCCACCGCCAGAAATGCACTTCATTCCCAACCCATCTAATACAGACTTTGTGTATCTACTGGGCTTGGAGCATGTGGTAGATTTCATCACTAAGGACAACAAGACCCCTCTCCCTCCTGAACCTTTCCGCTGCAGCCAATGTAGCACTAACTTCACACCAGTTTGGAAGTGGGAGAAAAGCTCTTCCAAAGGTGAACCTTTGTGCTTTTATTTTCTTAATGAATGTAATTTGATTTTACAAGCCTTACTTACCTCACATTTTCTTTCAGGCAAAGAGCCCAAGGTTATATGTGAATCGTGTGTGACAACCAATGTCAAGAAGGCCCTGAAAGCTGAGCACACCAACCGCTTAAAAACCGCATTTGTCAAGGCACTCCAACAAGAGCAAGAAATTGAGCAGAGGTTGGCCCAATCTAGTAGTGCTTCACCTCAACCAGATTCACATCATACTTCATCTCATGCCTCCTCCCACTCAACATCCCACTCTGCATCCCACACCACATCCCACTCTGCATCCCACTCGTCATCTCACACCTCTTCCCACTCCTCGTCCCACACATCTCATTCATCTCACTCTGCGTCCCACACCCCTTCACCAGCTTCCAAACCTGTAGCACAGTCTCTTCCACCTTCCCGTCATGTTCCAACCCCTCCATCAAACAACAATACCCCGCGAACTCCTCCTCTTTCAAAGTTGGCCCAGGAGAACAGCAAGTACAGCAGCCATCAGCAAGCTGCGGCAGCAGCTGCTCTTCAGCAGCAACTGCTTCGTGGTATTGGAGGTGTTGGTGGCTTGAGTCAGCACCAGCTGTCTGCCCAGATGCTTCAATTCACATTGTATCAATACCAATTGGCAATGGCCCAGGCTCAGGCTGCAAGTGCAGCTGGTGGAAAGGGTTCTGCAGCTGCAGCTGCAAATCTGGCGGAATTCCAACGTCAAGCTGAGGCATTGCAGAGACAGTACCTCATGGAGATGATTCCTCCAGCTGCTGCATCCCCTTCGTCTCGCCATAGCAACCATCACAGTGCTCATAGTATGAATAACTGGAAAACATGAGGGTCGCTCGGCCACTCGGCCTCCTCTGCGGTCCCTGCAGATCTCTTCTCTGAGGTTAGTACCTTGGAATTTCCTTTCTTCTATGTAAAGAGATTGACTGTATATTCAATGTTGTCCTTTTCTGTCACAGGTCATGTCAGCAGGATCCAAGGGGCCAGTGGCCGCAGACCTTCAACGCCAGTACCTTCTGGATATGCTGAATCCTCAGGCACCATCAACCCAGCAGTCTGTAAGCTCATGGAAATCCTCATCAACAGGTACTGCTGGTGTGCAGTTACCCCTCCCTTTGCCAAAGGAGTTTGCAGGAGTGTTGTCAAATAAAGACTCGTTGCCTGTAGAATTGCGGCAGCAATATTTATTAGAAATGTTAAAACCTGCCAATTTGGCAGCACTGCGTTCTCAGCAACCACCTTAAGTTTTGTGATCGCTTGCAGTATTATCAAGCAAACATGATGATACACCTCCACCTGTAAAGCAAATATTAAATTTGTACAACTGTCATTTAAAGCGAGTATGAATAGTTTGACCTTAGCGGACATCTATGAAACTGCATGCCGTATTTACATATTAAAGTAAATTAAACATGTCACTAATGTAATTGAGCCTATCTTGCACCTTGTCAGATCAAGAGTCTACAATAGTTAGTGTATTTCTAAGTATGTTCAAATCTATGTGTGTCTTAAGAATAATCTAATCTTAATTTTAACATTTTCAATGGTAATCTGCAAATGACTGAGGCAGTTTAGAGCTGTCAAGAAGCTATCCATCCATAACCTCTCTTAAAACTTGTCTGGGGAAAAACATATCGGTTGCTCTTCTGACCTGTAATGTTAGGGAAGGTAATAGCATTAACTTATTATTTCCTGTGGCCCAGTTGCAGTACAGTAGATGTCTTTAAAATAAAATGCAGTCAGTGCTTAGGAACAGCTAAAGTTTAATTAATTATCTGTATCTTTAATTAGCACTTAACAAGGAGGATAGCAATCTTTTTTTCTCTTCTATAGCTGAAAGTAGTGCTTGTACTGTAAATACGGTACTGCATGCCAAAGATGTTCCATGTCCTACTTTTCCCAACATTTGCAAATTAAGAAGTTCTTGTTTTGTAAGAGTTTTTGGCATGATAAATTTAGTTAATTGACATTGGCATAGCTGACAAGGAATAACAGACTGGTACTTATCAATTATGATGCAATGATTGATGGACTGCAAGGGATGTCATTTTTAACCAGTGGCATTGTTTTAGTAAAATAATATTTTGAAATTGGTTGTAGGTACCTTATATTGGTACTTGGCACATTAAGACTTGACTCTTAAATTAGACCACTTTCAACTTGCATGGTTCTGATTTTTATGAGTATTTTGAAGCCTTTATGATTAATTTAAACGCTGTTGTCACTTTTCATGTTAAGTCTAAGCAAACACGCATGAGGTAGCAATGTGCATGGGTTTATTCCTCAATCCATCAGAGCTGTGGCTACATTTCAGTCAAATTTCCGTGTTCAAGTATCCGTGATTGTATAGGAACACCTTTGTGATTTATTCATTGAAATCTTGCCTTTATCTTCTCTCTGGTCCACGCATTTGCTGACAGTCACAGTTCTGATGGCAAGTGCAACTTCAGTTACCTTTTTTTTTTTAAAGAAATTCTTGCCGAAATCATGATAGTTGTCCTACAACAATTTTATCTGTTGAAAATAAGATGTTTCTTGTTTTTATTATTGAGTGCACAATCATTACTTTTTATTGGAGTGTGTTTCACAGTGCAATAGCTCAATTTTGGATTTGCTTTTGTGGTGAAACTAAGTTAAGTAGCCCATCTGTTATGTATAGACTTATGATGGATAATTTTGTATAGACTTCTCTGCTTTGGCACCGTGGCATGCGCTGAATCATTATTCTTTTCATGTGTGCAATATGCGAATGTTTTTATGATTTTGTATTAGAATTATGTTAAAGTAATTTAATTGCATCTAAAAGAATTTTTTTAAAAGCATACATTTCATTAGAAGAAATTAAGCTATTTGCCTGTCTGACTAGGCTGTTATGTAGGAGCGCATGATAAATTTTTTTGGATAATGAGTCTCTTCAATTGTTGAAGTTAGTGTTACAAGCTTGTTATACATTTTGTTTCATGGAACAAAGCGATATTTATGTTGAAAAATGTGAGTATGGCTAACCTGTCTCTTGCAAAATATTGTGGGAGTGTGCTTGTGGTCATCATTCACACCGGTTTGTTATTATTTAGCCTTAAGATGTTTTTTTGATGATTGGAATATCTATTTGCCAGCACATTCACAGCGTATTTAATGATAATAATATAATTATGAGAATGGGAGGAATTGAAGAGTTCAATCAAAATGATGGGAGACAGGTTAGTGTTTTTTTTTTATTCATATTGAAATCTTCACTTGAGTGTTGATCTTTTTCTTAGTCAAATCCAGTTTGTATGTGTTAATTTTGTTGTTTGATATGTGGTTTGTGTATTGTCTCAAATTTAAAAAAGAAAGCCATCATGTAACGGAAGAAAATTGTGTGTAATGACAGTGGAGGATTTATGTGGTTTAGCTTTTTAGCTTCTGCGTTTTTGTGTATGGTGCTTACCTTTAGTAACAATCCTTCCATTTGTCAACAGAACATGTTGAAATTTTATTAACCTAGTAGCTTATTCAGGAATAGAAGAATTAAACCAAAGTTTAAGAATGTTATGTTGAAATGTTTTAGTTTGAGTTTTTCGTTCTCTTTTTTTTTTTTTTTTTTTAAGTTTTACCTGGTATTATTACATCTGTGTATTCCTGTTTTAAAATAATCATTTTTTGTACGTGATATTGGGGATTTTGTAACAGTGATAAGAAATGTTTCTGATTTGCTATGAATTTCATTTATTATATGCCTAAATGTATGAAATAGAACTCAATATAAGGGTGTTAATCTAGGTCTTCTCTGGGTCTAGTATAGTGAATCTTTTACTAGCTTCTTTGCTTGTAAATATTTGGTGGAAGTAGCAGCACTTGTCCCTTGGTTACAAATATCTGGCTCTTTTGGTTCAGTGTTGTTTTTTTTTAGCTCTGTTATGATTCTTCAATGTTTCTATAATTTATGTGATGCACTGTGTGCTAGGAAACAGTCCTTTACTGCATTGCAACTTTTTAATATTGTTCTGGAATGGTTACAACAGCTTTAATCGGGTGTCTTCATTGTATAGAATAGGCTTCTCATTTTCCTATAAAAACTAGTCTAATTATTTTATTGCTGAGTTTTTTTGAGCCAATTTGAAGAGTTATAGGGAATTTCTGTTATAATAGAAGAAAAACGGCCTTAATTCATTTTTTTAATAATGTGTGAAGTCCAAAACTTGGCTCAAGGATTCTCCATCCCATTTCTTAAACTTCTGTTAATTGACACCTAAGTTTGATCTAAACCACAGGATTTGCCTACAGTTTCGTTAAAAACGTCATGAGGAGAAAGTCACTGTCATGCTAAGTGTATCACAAGGGCAAATTTCCACCCTGTGTCCTGGTTTTTATTGCATTGTAATAGTTCTTTTAAATATCTGACCTAGGGAGATGAAATCAGAAGTATCTGTGACATGTTAATAGCTCTTTTATTGCTGGGCACTTAAGCAACTGTACCCTTTTGTCATGTGGTGTACTTCTTCTCCAAGATTTACCCAACACTTGAATGTTTTACTTAAGATTTCATAGTTTAAAATATTATATGAAATGTGATAGTTGACAGTGAACGTAAAGCTTCATGAACTGTTCTGTACAGTACATCTCAGAATCAATTTGAATATGAAGGCCAATTATTGCCTCTTAGTGTATATAAAATCTACTTTATGAAATTATACATATATGAACACACATTCGGATTTTATTCCCTACACTTTTTCACCCCTCTCATTATCTGATGCAAAGCAGTTGAATTCTTTGTTGAATTCTTGGTTGAATTGGTACCTGCCGAAGAGTTTATTTTGAAATTCGCGCACTTGCTTTCGATAGATCGAATCTGGCATAGCTCGACCAGTTACAACTCGTCAACCCTAACCTCCATCATCCAGCTGTCAGAAAATCTCCTTCTTTTAGTGTGATTGTTTTTTGACCTTTAATCTCCTCAAAACACTCCAAAATGCGGGTTCTTGGAAGATATATGAAAATGCCAGCGAAGCCTCGCAAAAAGCCAATGTCTTTGTCAGCTTTTAAGAAGAAGGTTCGTTAAAATTTATAAATCTGCTCTTGACCTTCTTACTTGTTTAGAGGCAATGGGAACGAAATATAGCAGTCACTCTTTATAATTTTCCTTGTGTACACATTCTATAGGCTGTACGCCAACTTTTTCTATTTGTTTTAATAGTTTTTTTCCTGAAACATGCATTTATTTTACTTTAGAGAATTTCAGAATTCCTTCACCTCCCTGTCAGTGCATTTACTGAGCTTGCTTGGTTTCAGGTGGGCTGTATGCTTGATACAATTTCTAAACTGGAATCTACAGAGAGAACCGAAGCATATGGGTACCTTCAAAACTGTGTCAACGTTCTTGGTGTTCATAAATTGGGACTGAACCGTATGTCATTGTTTTTCTGTAATTGATAATCATTATTTTCATGTACTTTCTTTTATCATTCTGTATTATTATTATTTTATAAATCTAATCTTGTTTGCCAGAAACTGATATAGCAAACCTTATGGCCCGGCCAGAAAGTTCAACGTCGTCTAAGGAAGGTTTGCCCAAGGTAAATCCACCTAAAGAAGTTGTGGAACCTAAGTTGAGCCCAATAAAGGTAAGTGTTCAAATTCGCATTTCCTATTCTTACAGCTTATCTGTGATCTCAAATTTTTTATTTATCCTGCAGGAGGTAAAACCCGTTCCATCCACTTCCTCTTCAATTCAAGTGTCAGTCATAAGTAGAAATGAACGAGCCAACGTAATCAACTACAGCAAGAGTGAAAACCATAGTACTCGAAAAGACAGTAGCCCTAAGTCTTTGGAGCCTCCCCAAAGTACAGAATGTAGTACCTCAGTACCTTTGCAAAGTGGGAATTACATGAAAGAAATTCACTCACATTGCGAAAATGTCAGAGAAACAGTGGTATCAAGCACTAAAATCCTTCAAAGCTCAGAACGTCTGGCCATTCCCACATATTCTCCTGATATAATTTCCACTCAAGACCAAGAAGATGTTTCAAAAGAAAAGGGTTCTCTTATTTCTTGTGTGGAATGCGGAGCCAAGTTAAAAAGTAGACGGGCTATGCTAGCTCACCTTGATCGTCATGTGCTGACTCCAATATCTTGTCGAGCTTGTCGAAGGAGTTTCAATTGTTTATCAGCTTTAAAATTCCATTTTGAGGATTTTTGCACAAGCCAAAGTCTGGTTTGCCCACAGTGTGAAGAAGTTTGTATCTCTTTTTCTTACATTTAGTTATCATTTATATTGTGTGTTTCCTTCTTCTAAATTGTTACATATCTATTTCAGGTTTTCTCATGCCGCACACACTTTAACAACCATGTGGAAGGACATAATCGAAACAATTGCCAAATGTGTCCCGCTTTGTTCACGAATAGGAAAAACCTTGTTGTTCACATGGCTGATGCTCATAATGTAGTCATGCTTGCAGATGCCGCATTTACTTGCTCTGTTCAGGGTTGTGAAAGACGATTTGTGAAAAGATCAACATTGCATCGTCATCTTCAGGTAAATACCTTCACAGCTCCAAAGTCAATTTGTTGATCATTTACATAGCCATAACTGTTGCTTTTACTTACTATTATTTATAACACATCAATCATTTCTAGCTTCGTCACACTTCTGAGGGGCAATTAGTTTGTATTACATGTGGGGCATTCTGTGAAGGGGAGGATGAATTCCGGTCTCACTCAGAAACTCATAAGCAATGGGCATGTGGAGAGTGCTCAGAAAGCTTCACCCGGAGGCAGCAGTACCTTGTCCACATGGCTGTAAGCATGTTACAGTATATTGAGATGTTACTGACAACAGCAAATATTTATTTGTACTAGTGTATCACATGCATTTTCTCTTATTTTTACAGAGCCATGAGACATCTAAATACAAATGTATCACTTGTGATCAAGTCCTTCCCACTAAAGCACGTGTTCTAGAACATAGAAAAGATGGACATCAAGTTGAAGGACTTAGTGTAGACTTTGCATGTGATAAGTGTGAGGAACGATTTCACACATCTGCTGAACTCCGAGACCATAGTCATGTTCATAAACGTAAGTTCAGAACTTCAATACAATATCGTTCTGCTCGGTCTCATTGATATTGTGCTGCCTGCACAACCTTTTTGCTGTCCTAACCGAATAAATGTTTCAATTGCAGCTCCAAATTCCATTTCATGCAAATACTGCCACAAAACATTTTCAACCAAAAAAATTTGTCTTAGCCATATGCGCAGTCAGCATGGAGTTGTGGTGGAAAATGGGACTGAGTCCAGCTTAATTTGTGATCAGTGTGGAAAGCAATTTCGGTCTCCTAGTTTGTTGGCCAAACATTTAAAAGGTGTTCACAATGAGCAAGTTTTTAGCTGCAACTTTTGCAACCATAAAACTAACAAGGAGGTGAATATGAGACGTCACCGTGCATTACACACTTCACAAGAACAACAATTTGTTTGTGATCAGTGTGGTGCTTCCTTTCAGGTAAAATTGATTTCAAGTACATACACAACATAATTTTTTTCTTTGATCTCTTTCTAGCTACTAACTGGATTGATTTTCTTTTTATGTCTAGGCTCTAAGTAATTTGAAAGATCATAATTTGTTCGTTCATTCTGATGAGAGGAATGTTGAATGTAATGTGTGCCACAAGTTATTTAAGAGAAAAAATGATCTTAGAAGACACCAACGCTCCCATTCTGATGACCGCAAATATGTTTGCCACTGTAAGCAAGCTTACAAATTTATGTCTCACTTGCGTCGCCATCAAGAGGCAGCTCATAAAACTGTGACAGCAAGCAGAATTGTGCAGCGCCTTGTCAAAGATTCCAGTGGTAATCTTATGGAAAAACCCAAACCAACAAAAGCAAAGAAGCTCAACAAAGATAAAAAGCATAGAACTGAAAGAATTGATATTGTAGAAGCTCAGGAACAATATGTAGATGAGCCAGTAACTCCTGTTCAACATGATGAGACAAGAGTTCAGTTAATTTCAGTTAACGAAGACGATCAAGTGGTGGCGATGTCTGTATCTGATCTTCCAATAGCTGATCAGCATGTCGATCCCTACAGCCTACCGGTAAGATCAAATTTACTATGAAATATCTCAATGCTTTCAAATGACCCTTTATTAAATTTATTTTATCTCTTTTTCAGGTTGCCTATGATGGTTTGAGTTACTCTGACCCAAAAGCGCAACTGGTATACACCACACCACCCCCAGGCGCTCATGTCATGTCACTTCAGCTTCCCCAGTTTGAGTTGGTGGAGCCAATGTCTTATGAGACGGATACTGTCATGGATATGAGCACCACATCACATGCAGACTTAAATAATCATCATAGTTCAATGCTCATGAGTATAACATCCAGTGAACCTTCTTCTCAGCACCAGCCTGTTATGACTCTCATCACAGGCCTTGAGCACAATTCCCTATTCACCACACAGGCTGATATAGGCACAATGACTGAGCACAGCAATGTATATTCAGAAAGTTTACTGCATCATGCTCATGGCACAGTTTCTCATGTGAAATCTGTTGATAGTTATTCTCAGGCTCATATTTTGGATCCTAAAACTAGTCAAGCTGATATCAGTACTATGACTGATATGTACAGTGTTTATGAAGCACCAGCGAATTTGTGTGTAAATCAACATCAACACCACCAACATCATACACACCATGAACTCCCACCTCTAAATTATCCCTTAGATCCTTGCCACAGCATTCTACTGCCTACTGACCAGACTTGGCATATTCATCCGGAGGCTTCAAATCTTGCACAGTACTCCACCTGCTAGTTTTTTGAATGTATTTTCTTTTAGAGAAAAACAAAATGTGAGAGTTTTGGTAAATCAATAACAATCATGAGAAAAACAGAAATATTATGTTAACTGGAATTCCCTGTACAGTTTTCTGAATAATAAATATCATTGGTCTTTAAAGGCGTTATATTCTCTGGTATTTAAACCCGCAAGTATAGGTACCCCTGAAAAAACGTCAACTTGTGATGTCTGGCCTCATAGACTCAAAGCACGTTCTCGACTTGACTTGTTGACCTCGTGTCTGCAACCCGAGTCAAAGAAAAGGTCTGTGAAAAATTTGCAGGTCGTCGGTGGCGTGCATCATTTATCAAATCAGGTGTAAATGTTTCGCAGACAACTCCCCGATAAGATGCAGACACTTTGCAGACAATTCGCTGCTCATTGGCAAACGACTCATAGACCACCCGCAGACAAACCGCAGACCATTTGGTCTGCGGATTGTCTGAAAACGAACCGCGTATGGTTTGAGGAGTGTCTGCGGGGGTACGGGCGTGCGAAACCATGGCTAAACCATCGGCAGACAATCTGCAATAGCTCAAAGAAATCGAAAACAGTCGAAGCGGCTGCTGCCGCCGCCGGCCAGTACCGAACCCCAGACCCGCGCGTGGAAGTCTGAGTGCTTGCCCGCTTGGCCAGAGAGAGCGCACTCCGGACGGACTGTGGTGTGGGGGTCAGATCCGGCGGGCTGTGTCTCCAGGCGCGTGAGTGGGCACTGCTCTGTTCCGAAAGCAGACCCTAACACCACAGTCCGTCCGGAGTGCGCTCTCTCTGGCCAAGCGGGCAAGCACTCAGACTTCCACGCGCGGGTCTGGGGTTCGGTACTGGCCGGCGGCGGCAGCAGCCGCTTCGACTGTTTTCGATTTCTTTGAGCTATTGCAGATTGTCTGCCGATGGTTTAGCCATGGTTTCGCACGCCCGTACCCCCGCAGACACTCCTCAAACCATACGCGGTTCGTTTTCAGACAATCCGCAGACCAAATGGTCTGCGGTTTGTCTGCGGGTGGTCTATGAGTCGTTTGCCAATGAGCAGCGAATTGTCTGCAAAGTGTCTGCATCTTATCGGGGAGTTGTCTGCGAAACATTTACACCTGATTTGATAAATGATGCACGCCACCGACGACCTGCAAATTTTTCACAGACCTTTTCTTTGACTCGGGAAGTTATCCCCCACGCACAGCATAATGCTAGTGTTATCAGCCGTCGCATATGGCCCGCGGCAAAACGGGGGCAGCAAGTGCGTGCGATGAAGGGGATCGAGCCGCGAGCGCAGACCACCCTCTGGCTCGCTGGTTGTTGGCTTCACAAAGACACAAGAACAGGTTCCATTATGTGCTACCTGCGCCTGTTGCAGCTGCTGCGACGCTTGGCCGCGTCCCTTCTTCCACAAAGTAGAGAGGACTTCTTCGGTTTGTGCATTCTGCTGTGTGCAACTTGCTTGCAGGGTAAGGGGAAGGTAGTTAGTTGCTCCTCAAATTGCGTTTTTCAAATGATTCCACCATTTTTACGTGCATGAGAGGCAACCGTGTAGACATATTTCGGTGAGGTAGATGGCTGACCATAGTGCATACCGTTTGAATGAGGTGACGTTATTCTAATTTCAACGCAAGATCAATGGTAATTCATTCCAGTTTCATGCTTTCTAATCACGGTAGGTTGAGTGCTGTAACCGAGCACTGTGTTGCCCTGTTGGGAACAATGTGCAAGAGCCTCTAATCTAGGACCCGCGTTCCTTTTTGCTTGGTCCTCTTTAGTCCTCTTTGCAGTCCTTCCCCCTTCCTCCCTTCACTCCATAGTTCATAGTCAACGCCCCACAAACGTGTATGCAACCAAATCAGTTTCGTACTCTTTCCCGCATTTTCTATTACGTTTCATCGTGAGGACATTTGATAATAGAAATCAACGTGCAGGCTTGAGAAAAATAGTCAACGAATGTTAGTCCTCTCTTGCTTTGTTTCCCCCTCTCCTATCTCCACCATCCCAGGAGCCTCACCAAACATCAAGGATGTCTAGGGGGTGGGGGAGAGTAGGAGTGTCGGCTGACGCCGTGTCGGCTGTTCGAGGGTGTCAACACCGCTCTTTGGCTTCGGCGTCGGCGTTAATAGAAACAGTAAACAAGAATGGCTTGAAAGACGAAGATTTGAACAGGAAACGTTCCTCTGACAAGCTTTTCATAGTTGCTATAACCTCCTAAACGGTTTTATCGTTGCAGGTGAGTCAGCACAATTTAGTCAGATTTTGTTGACTGCTTGTACATTTTTGCCAATGCCAATGAACTGTTAAGTATAATGATTTGGCCATAGAACTTTGAACCCTCGTGAGATCTAGCGTGACAAGGCAGCTTACCTGCCTTCCTGGCGAGAGACTTTGCTTTCCAAACCCCTCCACAGTTCAAACATTGCTTGAAAGAAACGTCCAGCCCTGCTTAACTAAGTTAATAACTAAAACTAAATTATGTAAATTCTTATTTGTAAAAATTTTCTTATTTGCAGTAACTATGGCCCCTCAAAAAGGACTGTTCAGCTATGAGAATCTTGTCCATGCCATCGCTGGTGCCACGGTAAGGATTATCAAAGTGTGCTTGTGCAATGGAAATTTTGGTATTTGATTAAGTTTAACATGTTCTCATTTTTATTTTTTACTTTTGCTGATGACAGGGTAGTGTTGTGGGTATGACAGTTTTTTACCCACTGGATACAGTGCGCTCACGATTACAACGTAAGTGTGGAGTTTCAAGTCAGCATCATGTTGTTCTTGGGATAAGAGAGGGCCATTTCAAAATTGTGTCTTACTGTAAATTTGTTTCAGTGGAAGAGGGGAGGAAAGCCAAGAACACATTAGCTGTTTTGAAGGACCTTATCAATGAAGAAGGATTGTAAGTCGTTGTTTTTTACCTTCCTAGTTTATTCGACAAAATTCTTTTGAGTCTATTACATTGTAGAATTAGACTGAGCAGTTAATTTTTATTTTCAGTGAGACTTTATATCGAGGAGCAGTGCCTGTTCTGCAGAGTATATGCGCATCGAATTTTGTTTATTTCTACTCCTTTCATGGCCTTAAGTCTGTGACAGGATCATCATCAAATCAAAGTGCAGCCAAAGACTTGCTTCTAGCATCAATTGCAGGTATTTTTCTTATAGCTCCTCTATTGATATCTTTCATAGTGAACAAAGTGCACTAAATCGTTTTCATCTTTAAAGGTGTGATCAATGTTCTTTCAACAACTCCACTATGGGTAGTAAACACAAGACTAAAAATGTCAGGTGTTGGGCATGGAAAAAACCAGAAACCTGAGTATCAAGGACTTTGGGGTAAATATTCTCAATGAAACTGAGGATTTCTTTTGAGACATTCTATGTGTCAAACTAGGAGTATTACTCACAAAAATTTGTGTCTGTCCTCCAGATGGCCTTTGCAAAATTATAAAAACAGAAGGAGTTTCTCGATTGTGGAGTGGAACTGTGCCTTCTCTGATATTGGTTTCCAACCCAGCAATCCATTTTATGGTTTATGAAACCCTAAAAAGACACATTCTAGAGGGGCGCAAACCCAGTGAGGTATCTCCCATGACATTCTTTGCTGTTGGAGCCACAGCAAAAGCCATAGCCACATTTCTCACTTATCCATTGCAGCTTGTACAAACAAAGATGAGGGTGAGTTTTATAATGTCTGTTTCTAACATATTCACACAACTTTTTAAAAAAAATGTTCAATGAGAGTATGTTTATATTTTAGCATGGACATAAGTATCCTGATCTCAGACAAGATGCTGGCACTTTAGAGTTGACAGCATACATTATCAGGTAATATTTTTAATCTATTTCTTTCACTGAGGATTTTACGGAGATTGGTAGTTATTTATTCTGTATTTAATTCATTTTCACCTTCCTTTTCATTCAGAAAATATGGTTTTCAAGGATTGTATAAGGGAATGGAAGCAAAAGTAATTCAAACCATATTGACTGCTGCTCTTATGTTCATGACTTATGAGCAAATAGTAGCATTTGTTTTCAAGTTGCTTCTTCGCAATTCTCATCTTACTGTTCGGAAGAAGTGAATGATTGGTAATGAAAAGATATATATTCTGGTGAATATCATAGGGCCATGAGAAGCTTTAAATCTCTCTATGTTTTTTTTTATTACTTATTTCATTGGGATTGCAGAGTGTTTTGGAGGTTTACATACCAATCTCCTCTCAAACCTCCTCCATATTTTTTGTCTCACATCTTCCAAATTATAAGGAAGAAATAACTGGGACATTATATTTGAAATGCTAGTCATAAACAAAATGCCAAATTTTTTTACTATTAAGCAAGCTATTGCTATTTAGTTAAATAATTTTAGAAAAGTGAGTGAATTTTCCCATAGAACTAAATTTTAACTTATTCTGCAATTTGACTCAGGCACTGAATTGTAATTCATGTGATATAGGACAGGCAACTAAAAACTTCTAGTGAAGAATTTCAGTGATGACTCTTGTATTTCCAGCTCTTGTGGTGTAGGGTTTCTGTATTACTACTAACAATGTGTATTTGTCGATTTGTCAGGATTTATAATGCAAGTACACTTGTATCAATTGTGCATTATATGGTATAATAAATTTGCAGGTAATAAAATCATGTTTGTTTATGTTCATTTCATTATGCAGGAATTTGAGTTTGCAACTTTGCCCCCTATAAAGTAAAGGGGCTTCCAAAAATTGCACCCGAATCACAAGATTGGATGCGCTAATTTAATAATGGGTGTCAGCAGCTATGTTCTCTCTAGACAATCATTGAACATAATGCTCCCCCAGACAAGGACGGTACAGGTTTCCAAGAAACACCACACAGTATACAAATTATCTGGGTATGCGGATGATCCGCGAGCAAAACAAGGTGCACCTCAACATGGAATCGCCATCTATCGGCGAACAGTTAAAGTGAGCTTACCGGCGGGCAATTCAAATTATTACGCGAAGGGGAAGGCCATACCTTACGACACTTACGCACGTCGAGCTGGAGGTAAGGTCGGGTATATTACATATTGTTGTGTACAAGGGCTGCGGAGCCTTTTGAAGACGGCAGTGCGTAGCCCTCCGAACAAACGCGCCTCTTCTTCTAGAACCACCCCAACAACCACCCCGAACCCCGAGGCGTCATGTTGTCATGGTTGGCTGGTCACCCTTCCTGCCGATGCCCCCCTCCACCGCGCTGTGCTGCTGAACAAACTGATGTAGTGGCGTTAAGTAGAGTAGTGCCAAGAGGTAGTACCCACAATAACTGGTTTGGAGAGCTGCTGGGTCAAAAAAAGTATTTGATTTTTAACATAGAGAAACTGATATGAAGTTGAAACAAATTCTTTCAGGCTGAACAGAGTTTCTTTTCTTATTTCAATATAGTTATTCTTATTTTACCATGAAGCCAAATCAAGTGCAGAGGGTTGAAACAAACTTGACAGTACAGCAAGAAGTCTTTGAACGAGCTTACTCATCACTCCTATGTGGATTAAAATATGTTGACAAAAAGTGCATAGAAAGTCTCAAAAGTGTTCACTCTGAATCAGAGGTAGAAAGGTGAGATATATTTGCAATCTTCATTGTTATTCATCTATATGACAACAGTTAAATGTTTATTAAACTTTCCTGCAGGAAAAGGGAAGCACAAAACCTAAAAAAGTCATTATTAGCTATTGTAATGGTAATCCAAAAGTTGAAACACAATATCAAAAATGAGCATTTCATTGAAAATCATGGTAATTTTCTACTTGTTTTGTTGTTTCAAACAATGGAATTACTGTTAAATTTTGGATTACTTTATTTTTTTTTAGATACTGAGTACTTTAGAGGTCAACTGACAAGCATTGAGGAAAATGTAACATCATTCAAGGGCCTCTTGGTAGAGCAGTAAGTTATCAGTATTTAAAATTGCCATTAGGGTCTACAACCCTGCTTTTACAAGGCACTATTTAACCAGAATACAGGTTCTTAAAGAAGAAGAAAAGGACCTGCAACATTCGATTGATTCACTTCACCAGCGTTTAAATGAGATGTCAAACACAACAACAACTCAGTCTGAAAACTCCTATTCTACTGCAGTTCGAGTCAAAGCTAAGTCCCGTGTGTGCACACAAACAAATGATAGTGTGCATCCCGTAAGTAGATATAAAGACACAATTCCTGTGATATCTTGACTTGGTTTGCCTTGAATAACTGTTAAGATTTGTATTTGTCTGTACTACATGTCCAGGATGTGCATGAGTTTCACCAATTTTTGCAAAACAATGGGGGTCACAATGGAGGATGGGACACAAAGGATCATTTGCTTTTCACACGTTTTTTGCAGAAGTACAAAGGCTTAGACCAAATGACAACAGCTCTTTTAGATTTCATGCCAGGTAAAGTTCTCCTGTATAGCTTACAAAATTGGTACATAATCAATGAACAGCAGTTAAATTTTATGTATATGACATACTTTGCAGACAAGACTCCAGAGGAAATAGCTCAGCATGAAACCTGGTACCATGACTATTTGACTCTGAAAGATGCTCAGCGTAGGGCGCTGAAAGAGTGGCGAGATAAACAAGCTTCTCATAAGAAAAAATGTGACGTGATTGAAGATACTTCAGATTACGCAGAAACCTCAGCTGCTCAAAACTTTCAAGCCCCAATCCAACGCGATCCTTCAATTAAAGAGAAAATTAAGAAGTGGAAGGTGAGTATTGCAAACAACATTATTGTAGATATATTGTTATTATAGTAGGAGTAATCAGAGTATTATATGTATAAATGCATATTTAAAAAAATATAACACTCTTGTTGTATGATTTAAAGGAAAAGCAGGAAAAATTGCGTGAGGAACAAATACGAGATCTTCAAGAAAAGAAAAAACAAGAAGATGAGTTATGGAGGAAAAAAGTTGCCTATTTTGTGAGTCTGATGGTTTGAAATCACACTTGCTCCATAGGCAATGTATATTACTTAACAGCACATTTTATGTCCGTCCTCAGGAGCAGCAGCGCAAAATGATTGATATGAAACATAAAGAGCAGCGGAAAATGATAAATAAGGAAAAATCTACAGAACCAGATGGAGTGCATATAGTTACAAAACACATACCTCTAAAAGAGCTTTGGTAATATTACTTAGATGTATCTGTGTTACAAAAACTCAAAGTGAGTACCCTCGATTTAAGTATAAATTTGATTGTTTAGGGAACAAGACAAATTATATATGTTAAGAAGACAGTCTCGCATGCAAAGATTTTCTGCAATTTCTCGTGAGCGTTGCACCTCACAAACAAAAGTCCATGCAGAAAGGGATCCTGCACGCCTACTACGACCAACTGCTGTATGGAAGAATAGGGTCCGCCGTAGTTTGTCAGAAGACGGAAGTAAAAAATTTCAAGGCAACCAGATGTCTCTGTATATTGCAGATGTGCCTCGATTGTAAGTTGAACTCAAATTTCTATAGCATATTCTACTGATAGGGCAAAGATGTAGGTACTTTTACCAAAATGGTAACATTGGAGAGGAAGGCCCAATAATGACCCTTTTCTTTTCAGGGCAATACCCAAATGGAGAGAAGGTTTGGTATAGTTTGAATGGATACTCCTAAGTTCATTTTTTATTTATGTAAAAAATACATATATGTGCTCCCAAGACAAAAGATAAAAAAATTATCTCAGTAAAAAAATAAATTATCTGTACAAGTGCTGATGTACTGCGTCACTAGAAAACACACAGTGCCTTTTTCTTAGCAAATCCAGTGTACTCACCCTATAAGATTGCTAGGAGCTGAAGCCCAATCCTCTGTCTGTTCAGTTCAACATTAAGTACTTTCACTTGTACTCTATCTCCAAACTGAGGATGCTTCCCACCCATCCCACTATTGTGTATCAGTCCATTTTGACCTACTCCAATGTCAACAAAAGCTCCGAAGTGAGTAGTGTTTGTGATTCTCCCTAAACAAACAATTATTATTATTTATTTTTTTTTAAGTTGAAGATATTGAAAAATTCAAATTTGAGAACCTGTTATTTAAAACATTACTAACCTGTCAGTATGTCACCACCGTGCAACTCATTAATGGAAGTGAGGCCTTTTCTGAACAAAGGTTTTTCAAATTCGGAACGGAAATCATGATTGTGCGGCATCTGTAGACCCTCAGCAATAAGTTTCACTAATGGTTCACTTGAATCCAACTTTTGAGCCAATGATTTAATACCTGAAAGTATATAAGCATTTTAAAAGATAGTGGGAATGCATTTGTTGTAAATTTACAGCAATTCTAAAGTTACAGCTGACACAAGAAACACATACCCCCTGCGGTAGAAATTGCCTTTGAAATGGCTCTGATAGTCTCTGGAGTTCCAATGGTCTCTGTCTTCACTTGACAAAAACTCAGGAACCTAAAAAGGAAAAATAAAATTAAATCAAAGGAAAAATGCTGTACACCATGGGAGGGTCATCCATAAAGGCTATGGAAAAGTTTAGGTATCTCTTGGAAACCTCCATGTATTTTTCCATCACAGGGCTTGGCCCTCTGGACTTTTAAGGGACAATTATTGAAATAGGTAAGCAGTAGATAGAAGAAAAACAAAAAGATTCACCTGCTTGCACAGCCATATGATTCTGGGTGAATCCAAGTCATGTCCAAAGGATTACATTTACGTGCAGCAGTCCTGAAATAAAGGTGAGCACAATGTTACAGTTCTTATTCTGTTAGAATTTTAACAGCTAATGAATGATAAATTATACTGAAGAGCATGAAATCTACTAACTCAAGTCCAATAGTTTCGGGAATTATTCTTATGAAACCTGCACACTGTTCAAAAGATTTTTCTCCAACGCCTTTAACTTTTTTCACCTCATCTCTAGAGAAAAAGGGACCATTTTTTTTTCTATATTCTATAATCTTCTCAGCTCTGCTAGAGTTGAGACCAGCTACACGCCTGAAATGATTTAAAAAAAAGGAGAAGAAAAGAAAAAAGAGATTAGACAAATTTAATATGTAAACCCTATCTATGTGTTAGATATAACCTACAGCGAGATTGAATACCTGAGAAGACAATGAGGAGCTGTATTAAGATCCACCCCAACAAAACTCACACACTCCACAACTATTTCATCAAGAGTACTGGAGAGCTTCTTCTCTGATAAATCATGTTGATACATACCAACTCCTAAATGTTTGGGCTCCACTTTTACCAACTCTGCTAATGGATCCTGAAGCCTCCTTGCAATAGAAACTTGAAAGTATACATAAGATTAGAACAAAAACTCTAGATAATTTCATAATTAAATCTTTGAAGAGTGATACCTGCACTGATGATATTTGGTTCCAAATCAGGGAACTCAACTTTTGCCTCACTAGAGCAAGAGTAAATACTAGCACCCTGCTCACTAACAATTGTGTAAGAGACATCAAGAGGTTTAAAGAAATCAGTCTGGAACAGCTCACTTAAATATTCTTCTGTCTCTCTACATGCAGTGCCATTTCCAAGGGCTATTACCTCACACCTACAATCGAAAGAAAGGAAGTAGGGAAAAAGTGAATAAAACAATTTATAATTTAACATCTTTGTCCCTTAGATCTCATTGAAAATATTATTACCGGTGCCTTGACATTATCTTTCTTAGCCAGAGAGCATTTGGATCTTCTCTTAAATCCCATGTTCTTTTGCCACAGTTAAGATTAAACACACCTTTCTCTAATACATTACCAGCTAAATCAATCAAAGCAACCTTACATCCATTTCGAAATCCTGCAAAATAGGTAAAAATATTATCCGTAATTTCTATGGTGAGCAAAATGTTACAAAATTTAATGTAGAGACTTGCAGTACCTGGATCAATACCAAGTACAACACGGCCTCTAAAAGGTGGCATCAGCAGAAGTTTTTTTAAGTTCACAGCAAACACTTCAATGGAGGCCCTCTCAGCATTCTGATTCAGTTCTGCTCGAACTTGCCTGACAATAAGAGGCTGAATGAGGCGACTGTATGAATCTTTTACACTATCGTTGAAAAGAGTGCTTCTGAGGTCATACTGGACCCCTTTAGAAAGCCATTGTCTATTGCAAAATAATATCATCTTGTCCAAAACGAATTCAGGCACAACCAGCCGAACTGAGAGCTCTTTCTGGGCTTCCCCTCGATTTATTGCTAGTACCTGACCCAATATAAAGTACAGAATTTGAAATCACAGGCCTTCATAAAATAAACCAACTTCAACATTGAGGAATGGTAGTGGTTATTACCTGATGTGGTTTGATATACTTGACATTCATTCCAAACTCAAAGTAGTTACGATATTTACTTTCTTCATCTGCCTTTGACTGCATTTTTTGCTTTTCAGCAGCAGAGAATGATTTCATTTTGGCATTAGATTTTTCTTTGCTAGATCCTTTAGCTAGCTCTTTGGCCACAGTGCCCCTTGCTCTACTACTTTCAAGTCGAATATTGGCAGTCTTTTTCCTGATAACATTTGAAAATAAATAGG